TGTATGTATGTATGTATTTAAGCCTGACATGTCTACCTCCCCCTCCCATGATACTGGAGATTGGGTTAATGTCTATATTTTCATTGGCTGCCTCCTGCTACCTTTCTTTTCTTTTTTCTCTCTTTTTTTTTCCTTTTTCTTTTTTTCCTTTCTTCTTTATTTAAATTTCTTAAAATGTTTAAATTTTAAGTTCCTATTTTATATCTTCACACTTCTGAGATGACAATGCCAACATAGGACTTGTTGGTTGAAATAGATATTCTGATGAGGTAAATGTGGATTTCTATTTTATGTAATATATACATACATACATATATATATATATATATATATATATATATATATATATATATATATATATAAAGTTTGACTTTTGCAATATTTTAATGCTATGATTACCTTCCTTCTTTGGTTTTCCCTTTTCAATCGATCTTTCGTTCTGTGTGTTCTCCATGAAGTTGTACGAGTTCAAACAAAGAATACCTTTCGCAAATTATTTTCAGTGTCAAGTAACGCAGACTTCTTAAGCGGCGGGTAAAAGTCTTTATCAATGTCTCAGCACTCGGTGTATTCATTTCACAATGAAATTCATTAAGAGACAAAATGTTAAAATGGCAGTGAAAGAAAAGCAACAGAATAAAAAGACTGGCCAGTTTCGCTATAAAAATGTCGCCTTAGTAATATAATCGTGGAAAACTAAATTACTAGATTTCATAAATAAATTAAATCCAGCCAGCAAATGAATTCGTATATGAACGAAAAATAACGCCTAGCATTTTCTTCGTGTTCTATCAGTCTGAACTGATATTGAATATCTCTTATGTTGAAAACTTTGGTATTTCGTCACGCTTTGAACTGCCGAGGTAACCAAAAAAAAAAAAGAAAAAAAAAAAGATGTAAAACTAATTTGCATCAAATGTTTCTATTAATGTCCACCATAAAATCCCGTATTAACTCGAAAAATAAATTTTAAAAAATCCAGTATATAAGTATAGGTAAAAAAAAGACTCATTTTTTTAAAAAAGTTTCTGTATTAAATATAAGTATCTATGTGAATTTCTAGTGATGAGCATTTAAGATTTTTTTTTTTTACATTCGAAATAATGTCCACATCTTTGTTGTTATTATCACGTGATTGCCTTCTGTCTGAATTTGTTATCAGAACGTTTCGGTTGTTGTGCTCTCCGGCCTTCACCAGATCGATAACCTACAATTAATTCTTACGAGACAATAGCCTAATGGCTATAATATAGTGTTAGTGAGTTCAATCCCTGGACCGGGCAGAGTGCACTT